TTTTTTTTTTTTTTTTTTTTTTTTTTTTTTTTTTTTTTTTTTTCCTGAAACCAGAACAGTAGAAGTAGCCAAGCCTAAGACCTTCTGAAGACGTTTGAATGTCCCACTGGACTAACTTTTCTCTTGATGTGTGTTTTTAGTTTAGAAGTGCTATATTCCACAAGGTTTAAAGTCAATGAGGTTGGAAGACACCTATCTTTTTTTAATTCAAAAAGCACAATCAGTCTTTCCTTTGAAAATCTATATAAAGTACAACTTTTAGCATGATTATTTTCCTAAATAAAAAGAAATAATTTACTTATTTTATGTTAATTACGGGCATGAAGCAAAAGGTTTTCTTTGGGGAAAATGCAGTTCTGTGGGGTTTGGTTGGTTCTGTGCTGTCCTCTGGCACCCTGGCCTGTTGGAAGGTGGCATTAGCCGTGTTCTGTGTAGCTCTGCTTACCTGGCCTCCCGCTTGCTCCCGTGCGGACTAGCCGCTTGCTCGTGCTGTAACCTTCACTGTGGGTGCCACATAGGAAGGCTTGAACTGCTGGGTGGTGACTGTGAGTTGAAACAATAAAAATGTATTTTTTTCAATACTGTATAAAATAGTATTCTAATTACCCCCCCCCCCAATAAAAAGTCCAGATAATTGCTTCTGATCTTGTTGGAAACAGATACAAAACAAACCCAACAAAACACGACTGACAGAGCCAAGTTTGGGGAGTGGGCGCAAGCAGGTAGCACCTTGTGGCCCTCATGGGGACCCGCTCTGCTTTGGTGAGGGCACCGTTCCCTCCCGGGCGTGGCCGACCGTGCAGGAGTGCGGTTGGAGCCTGGGGCTGGAGGCTGGTGGGCACGATGTGATGAGTCCGAGGAGCATGTGGTGAAGGGGTTAATGGCCGTGGCAGAACCGGCAGCTCCCGTGATCTCTCCGTCCCCTCTCCCAACTCTCCTCGCCCGTCTGGTGTGTGTGTTGCAGCTCTGAGTCTTGACTCTGTTAGAAAGATGGCGGTCTTGCCGGACCTTCCCTACTTGTTGGTGACATCAGATTAGATGACCGTGCCCATAGCTGCGAAGGCCTGGAAAGAGCCTGGCTGTGGCTGGGTTCTCCAGGTGCCCATGGGCTTTCTCGGCGCCAAGCCCCTTCGGACAGTTGCAGTGAACCAGGCTGCTGGCACTCGCCCTGCCCTCTGGGCGACCATTTTTTGAGGCTCTACCTTGTGCCCTCCCAGGGGAAGCCATTCTTTGCCCCTGTTGATGACTTGCAGGCTTGCCAAACACCGACAAGCAGAGGGGCAGCCTGGCAGCCCGAGCTGCCATGTTCCTGTGTCGTGGCGTGTTCCATGGTTGCCAACCTAAACCCTGACATTTGACATTTTTGTGGTAGTCTCCGCCCTCCTTGAGAGTACTCGGCTTCAGCCAGCGTTTTCTGTTCATGGAGAGTTGCCTCTGCTCTCCAGCACTAAGTTGTTTCTTTCCCCCCCCCCCCCCCCATTTCAAACTCTGTTCTAATGGCCTACCCGCTCGTGTAGGCTCCTGAGGAGTGCCCCTTTCCAGAGAAACTGCCCAGGAAAGGGCTCCCTGAGGTGGTAGTTGGCCTTGACCGGCTATTTGCATTTTCTAGGCCACCTTTTGGGACGGCTAAGAATCATGACACATCCTCTGCCAGTTTCTGGTTTCTGAGTCGGGTTTGAGTGCTGACATTTGTAGTGACTCAGAAAAGTGAAGCCATTTACAAAAGTTAGCAAAGTTTTGTCAACTTCTAACTCATTTGAAATTGGGCACTCGAACTGCACTTCCCTGGATTTCAGGGTCCATGTCCACCATTCTCTGGCCTCTGGACACCTTGGCCAGCTCTTTAGGGACTAGATGCAGTGGGGGCCCTTTGAGGTCATGGGTGTGGAGGGGCCGGCGCTCCCGAGTCAGCAGCTACTTGGATGTGGGCGTGAGAGGAAATGGCCTTTAATTACTGATTGTATTTGGTACACAGTGTGTGAAGCTTGAACAGACAAGGGCCTAGAGCCCTCGGCTGAAATCTCAGCTTTCTATGGTCCCCTCCCTCCCCCTCCCTCGCATTGTGATGATCTGGTGGGCCTGTCTGTCACCTGGTCAAATGCCTCCTCTATAACCTTTCAATAGTTGTGTATAATGAAAACTGTAAAACTTTTTTAAATAAAATGTGTATATACCTTGGCAAATGGCTGAACTTGATCAATAAGAGCTGCCCCCCCCCCCCCCACACACACACACACACACAACCTGATCAGACAGCGGTCCTCCCTGCAGAGAGCTCACCATCCTGCGAGTGCCTGAGCCGCCTGCAGCCTTGTCTGCCTAGGGTAAGACCCAGAGCTGACTGCCCTGCCTGGGAGGCAGCCTTCCAATCCTCGCTCACATGGGCGCCAGCCAGCAGGTGGCAATGCTGCCCAGGCCACTGAGGCTGCCTCGGCTCTGTCCACGGCTCTGTCCACGGTTCACTGGACCAGGCGCCAGGCATGGATGCTGGCTTCAGCAGCGGGGAGGGACAGTGCTAGGTGTGAATGAGGAAGGGCGCTCATCGAGGCCGCCAATACCGTTACCGGGTGGCCCTTTGGGAGCTGGCTATTCCAGCACACCCCAGGCTCTTCGATAAACAGTGAGGTTTGGGCTGGTGGCTTCTGACACTCCACGCAGGCCTGGAACAGTGCTACGATACCCGTGTTGAGAGGCTGCTGTGGGCGCCCCCTTGGACAGGTTAGTGCGGGCTTAGAGGGTTCACGTTTTTATTTGGACGGAAATAAGGGCCTCGGCCCCAGGGGTCCACAGTTCTTCACACCTAGTGGGCTGTCACACCCTCAGTACCCCTGGGGACTGCTGGCTTGTCACAGCTCGACCCTTTCCCAGGAGGGGGTTCAGGGTTTCTGAAGCATGTGATTCTAGGAAGTTGGGGCCTCGGGCTGAAGGCCAGGGGGTGAGTTGCGTTAACACTGGATCTTGGGGTGCCTTCCCACCAGAGGAGGAAGACAAAGACCCAGGACAAGTGGGGCCACCAGACAGCAGCCTTGATAAGGACCCAAGATAGTCCATGTGGCCGAGGCCTGGTCTCCAGAGCCACAACCTCTGGGAAGGTAATCAGACCCTCTGAGATTTAAGGCCACCTCAAAGTGTTTGCCCATCTGTGATGATGGATATTTAAACAAAGGCACTTCCTGGTTCCTAAGAACTCACTGGGACTCAGGACAACGTGAGCACAGTATTGTCCGCCATCAGGAGAGGAGTCCTTGTTAGGGCCCCTCCACCTTAGCCCACAGCACAGGACAAACAGCCCAGCTCCCTAGCGGCACACGCCCTTTCTCAAGTGAAGCCCACGGTGTGCATTAGAGAAGACTGGAATGAGGCAATT